TTTTCACCTGGGTCATTACCTTTTTGGAATCAACTGAATTCAAGTTGGCAGCTACAGCTTAGTGATCTTAGCTAACACAAAAAAAATGTCCATTTTTTAGTATTAAATTAGTTGTTCCAAAATAGCACTCTTTAAGTATACTAATGATTAGTGTGGCTTCAAGTATACTAAAGTATACTTAGATTTAATGTACTTTAGTATATATTTTTTCACCTGGGTACATTTGTTTTTCTGCTTTATGTCAAGTTTTGATTCTAAATGAAAAACTGAAATTCTTAAGAAACATAATTATATACTTAAAAACATTAATTAACAGGACTGATTTTGAACATTGACATGTTTTTAATATTTTTTTGYCCCCTCAGACATGTTCACTTGAGTGCGAGGGGATCCTGGATCAGCAGAAACTGAGCGTGTGCCAGGACTTCCTGTCTGAAGAAGAGAACAGCCTTGCTGGAGATGCTGACCCCCGTCGACAGCAGGAACAGGAAGCAGCAGGGGCCATGATGTCCAGTGAAGCTGCGACATCATCTGAACGGCAGGTTGTCGAGAAGTATGGTGGCTTCATGAAACGCTACGGTGGTTTCATGTCTCGGCGCTCCTCTGCTCTCCCGGAGACACGAAATGAYGTGAGAAACCAGGACGAGGAAGAAAACATCCGCCTCCGGATCCTGGACATCATCAGTTCTGCCGGCGGGAGTGACAGTAAGGCAGAGAAACGTGGCGACGTGGCGTTGGGCAACCTGCTGGACGAAGTGTTGGGCCGGGGGCTCAAGAAAAGATACGGGGGCTTCATGAGGCGTGTAGGCAGGCCTGAGTGGCTGGTGAATGGAAGCAAAACCGGGGGTCCCCTGAAAAGAGCTTGGGAGAATGGAAATGTGGTGGAGAAGAGGTACGGAGGGTTTATGGACTAAGAAACCCCAGGAAGGACCTTCATTTGTCCCTGCAGGTTCTCCTCGTCAGCTCGTCTCCTTGGCATGTGGGCTTGTTGGTGTTTGCATTAACTTCTTGTCTCCTGTGAAAACTAGAATGTAACGTTTCAATGGTGTGCTTTTGTCTTCTTCGTTTGTCCTGAAATGGTAAAAAAATATATATTTAAAATATTTTGTGGTCTTTAAATGATTATTTATTAAAAGAACCAGTTAATCAAGGAATGTTTTGGTGTCTGATTTAATACAATTATCATATTAGATATGAAACCAGGTGACTAATTTGAGAAATTATGGAAAGCACAGGTTTCTATAATATATCCACACATTATAAACACAAAATATTTTACAGCTAAATGAGTTTCTGTAGAGACTGCAGAGCCTCGCAAAGTATTCATCCCTCTTGGTGTTCTTTCAACTGTGTTCCTTAACCCTATAAAGCCTGACTCTTTAAAAATAGCCAGAAAATTCTATTTTTTTAGAACTGACATGTTTATTGGGCCTTTAAACAAAATCCAAAATTATTTTTTTTTGCCACATCACTTTGTTTGATATATTTTTTTGTATCAAATCTGATACACTGGGCTGTTTTGGTAACATTTTGCTCACAAAAAAGTTAAATTAAGAAACAAAAGAGTTTTTCCCATAACTTTAGAACATAGGACGTTTACGTCTTTGCTTTTTTACAATAAACTTTTTACAGCCTTTATTTCACTTGGTGGTAGGCACAAATACAGTTTCTGTCCTTGTTCAGACACAGATGTACCT